GGCTATCACTCACATTCTGTAATAAATATTTTACGTCACCATCCCCCTTTTTCACAACCATCCAGTTTATTATCATTCTGTTCTTTTCCTCCTCTCACACTCGTACCATCTCATCCCACTCATTAGAAGATACCGTGACAGCTGAGCTACTTATCACCTTTTGTACGCTACAGTATTTTTCRGTCATCATTTCTAAACTCCCCTCAGGAAACTGTCAGTAGATGCTATCACTATGTGTGTGTGCCCATAAGTTGTTGTGCTGTTGGATGGGTCTAAATATCCTTCCTTCATGCATTTATTAAAATAGGTTGAGAAATGTATTTGTTAGCTCTGGGCCATCTTCCTTAATAATGTCATTTCTGGTGAACCGTGTTTAAAATTCATGTTTATACATCACACATACACACAGACACAAGTTTATATAACTTATCCTTAGTTTCTTTCTCTAATGAGTTGACAGGAACAACCTTACTTCATCCATTGCTTGGCAATGACAAAACATTTAGCAGTTTTTCTACTTTGGTTGTCGGGATGAAGTATTTGCATACTTGCATATTACTTGATGGATTTTGTTTAGCATTATTATTAGGGTAATTAAGTGTATGTAACAATTTGTTAATTAACTTAAAAAACATATAGCTTGATAGCGTTCATTTAAGATTAAGGAATTTTGTTGCGATTTCATATGTCCTGATTTGGTCTATTTACTGTAAATATTTCATAGTTGTTTCAACCTAGGGATGGACATTTTAAGCATAAAATAAAAATAAATAAGTACTGGTCTTGGGTTCAATCCCCAGTTTGGACCGAGGTTCTTTCTGTGTGGAGTTTGCATGTTCTCCTCATGCTTGCATAAGTTTTCTCCAGGCACCCTGGTTTCCCCTACAGACCATAAACATCTACAATAGGTTGCCTTCAAAAACAGGCCTCAGTTGCAAAAGAGATTTGAGTAACACTTTATTGGAAGGAGTGTACATAAGACTGACATGACACTGTCATAAACATGAAAGAGGCTTCATGAATGTTTATGATTGTTGTCATTAAGTGTAATTTGGTAAATTATATATTTAATGCAAAGTTGACATTGTTTGAAATGTTTTGGTTATGGCAACTTGGAATTAACCAAGACAAAAATGTCTTAATGACAACTTGACATTGGTATGATATGATATATACTTATATGGAAATGTCAAGTGATACTCTTATTGTAGTTACAGCATCATGTGATTGTATCATTCAGTATGATTTCTTGGTTAATGTCAAGTTGTCATAACCAAGACATATTAAACAATGCCAACTTTGCAATAAATGTGTCATAATTTACCATATGACACTTAATGACAGTCATAAACATTCATGAAGCAGGTTCATGTTCTTGACAGGTGTCATGTCAGTCTTATGTACACCCCTTCAAATAAAGTTACCAAGATTTGTGATCTCAATGGGACTTGCCTTGGTAAATAAAGTTCAATAAATTATAAAATAATTGTATTTTTCCTCAAATTTCTTCATTTGTTTAAAGAATGATGGTGTCGACATGATTGGTGCTATAAAGTTTACTCACCTAAACTATTGCAGCTGACTCCCCCACAACAAATACAGACAGACGCTTCTGATACAGAGACATACTGTGGCTAATTCAGCTGGTCAGGGATCATAACATTCTTTCATTTCAGTTATTGCTTGTTACAAAGCAGAGTACTGCCTCTTTCATACTGGCAAGAATGACACTATTTGTATTAGGTGAATCCTTGGCTTAAATGAAACATAGCAGACATATACTGTAGTGAGAACATAATTTGCTTTTTCAAAAAGCATAAAGTAATTACTTCTTCCCGATTTGCATGCCGCTTATCAAACAGTTGTGGTGCATTACCATAATCAGGTGTGGCTCATGAACATAATTATACACCGACTTGCCTTTACACTCAATTCTTAGTTTAGCCTACTTGCATATCTCTTTTTTAGCTTCTAAAAAAACTAACAGAAACAACGTGGCTGTATATGTGTTGAGTTCACAAAAAATTGACTATATTTCCCACAAGGCTACAACACAAATCTAAATCATATGGTAAGTTAAAAACCCTTCTTCCTATGACAACCCATTAAGGTCCCGGCATGTTTTTTAGTAATTGCATTTCCACGAGGGGATAGAAAATGTCAGGTGAAAGTGGTCAGAGTGATGGAACTGTAATTAGGTATACTTTATTGATGGAGCGTATCAGGAGAAATCAACACGAGCTAAATTAGTTTACTTAATTGCACTTGTGTTAGTTTTTCCTTTGCTGACAATCAGTTAGCTCTCTGGTTCACCAATATTACCTACCCATCCCCTCTGCATTATTTATTTCATATTTGTTATTTGACTGTAAAATAAATATTAGAGCTCATTTACAAATCTTTGCAAAGATGCTATAGGAATTTGACCTGATGGTGGTGCTAGTAGTACCTCCTTCAGTTAGACAAAGAGGGGAATCCAGCTGAAAGATGTTTCGACCTGTTTTTTTATGTCATATAAAAACAACTGCAAAATCACAATTGCTCTTTTAACTCTATTAGTTCCAAGCACTGTACTTTTTTAGATGTTTAAAATATTTTCCCCATAGCTGCCAGAGTAAACACGTGTACTGTTTTAGATCTGATATCACAACAACATCCATTTTTGATAAAAGCTAAAACTGAATGCATTATAGAATTAACTTGAGTCGAGTCTCTTTCAGCTCATCCTGCTCGTTCCCCTGGCGTGATACCAGAAAAAAAATGTTTGCTGAACCACTGACAACTCATTTTAAATTTACAAACTAGATCAAAAGAACACAAATCACTGCAGAATTGTATTCTTTCAAGCAAGAGTTAAAAACAACCTCAGGATGCAAAAAAAAGTCTCCTTAAGGCATAGAAGGGCTGGAGTGGCTGACAGCTTAAAACTCTTTCTTATAGAAATATCATACATTTTTTATCATAGAAAAGCTTTGAACCCAAGTGTGGGGCATCATTTCAACAGACTTCTAAAAAGTCTTTATGTCACTCGAGAATGCCACTGCTCTGACTCGGGCTTCCCCAAGCAAGTTGTTTTAAATTCCTGCGCAGACACAAATTTATACAGGAAAACAAGCACACAAGCCAGAGGAAGAAGGAATTACAATTTCTACACCAGTACTGTACATAGGGCAGTCAAGTATGTTAAAAAATATTCAAATTTTAGTTTTATATTCTAGTTCCTTTCTGAAACCCCAAAGGGAAATCATTACTTCAGGCCTTCTAAATATGCATGTGGTTAATTATGCATCTTGTTATCACTGGCTAATCTGCATAAGACTCAGATATATTAAGTCCCTCTCATTACCATTCAGAGGGCCATCTCACAGGTGTGCCAAGTACACTGTACAACATATTGTAGTTTAAATAAAAACACACAAACACCCACACAAGTTGGTAAAGAAGACTGGAAGTGCATGTACACATGCATATTCAAACATGCAGAGTGACATGTTCAAACAAGCAGACGTGTGCTCGCTCAGGCATTCAGACTCCTAAAAACGTACACATGCTCATCCAGGCTCTGACAGTGGGCACCCCGCTGAGGAGGACGTGCATTATGCAACCCCACTGACAGTAGGTCTGGGTTTCCCTCCAGTGGGTGGCAGTTTGGTCAGTGCCAACTCATTAAAAGCACAGCTGGCCATATGGGTTGGACCACTGGACTCCTGGAAACCACTGGAGTCCTTAGATGAACTTCCAATAGATTTTTACCCATTGATCAAGAACAAAGAAAGCTCTTTGGAGCATGTTTTTTTTCATCTTCACAACACAGAAGTTATTCAGATCGAGTGCCTATAAATCCCTGAGTCGTATTTGCTAATTGTTTCATCAGTGCCTTATTCTTGCCAAGTATAACATTCTTAGTTTTGAGAACTTAATCAAATAGACAAATATGTGTCTGCTTTTCAAGATTATTCATGGTTCTGCTGCACCCCCTTTAAAACAATCTGTATCCCTTAGCTCTGGAAAAACATCTCGAGTCACTCGTTCAACTATGAGGTGAGTGTAGAGTTCCCAAATGTAAAACTTATTTTGGTAAATCAGCATTTACAAGTACTGCCATACAACAGTGGAATACTTTGCCACCAGAACTATTGATATGTGCAGACTTTCATAAATTTTCATGCGTGACAAAACAATGGCTTATCTTAAATCAAACCTGTTATACTTTGGATATTGTAGGTATGTTTATCTGCCTGAAATGATTTGCCTTTTTATTTTTTTGAGTGGTCAGTCTTTTTTAATGTGTGTTTTTAAAAAGTGAGTTTGCATCTATGATTGCATCTTTTTGGGAGTATGGATATTATGAATTGATTTTATATTGACTATGACTGTATGCTCTTGTATTGTATATTTGTGGTGCTTTATAATTGTTTTTTTCTGTTTGAATAGCATCCAGCTGCTTTATTTTATTATTATTTTTAAATTTTACCTTTTATAATGATTTGTGGGATGGGTCAGGGACTACATTTGTAAACTTAGCACCCAAAGCTATAACCACCAAGCATCTTTCCTGTTAAAATCAATCAATCAATCAATCAATCAATCAATCTATCTATCTATCTATCTATCTATCTATCTATCTATCTATCTATCTATCTATC